AGTTGAGTCAGCAGTAAGAGGGAACTTCGGATATTGATTCTGGTTCATCCATTCATTGTTATTATTATTATTGAGAGAAGAATAAGATTGGTGAAAAGGAGGAGGAGGAGGAAGGTGGAGAGAGAAGGGGGAATTGTCATTGGTCTTGCTGGTGCATATCTTCTTCTTCTTCTTCTTCTTCTTCTTCTTCTTCTTCTTCTTCTTCTTCTTTCTCTCTCCTCTGGTCTTTATCTCTTTGCAAGTGCTTTCATTTCTTTCGCAATTGGGTGGCATTGTCTTTCATTGTGAATTTGCACTTGGGAAATGACCAGGATCGTAACACTTCTCTGAAAGTGGAACCTCCAGTCTATTTAGCACAAAATTTTTCTTTCAAGATCGCTTTTTTTTTTATATCCGAAACTTTTGTGGAACCTTGCCTAGATCTCGCTCATAGTACTCTGAAATGCCTCACTCGCAGCAGATTGACAGATATACAAAAAAAGAAAAAAAGAGGGGGGGTGATCCTCTTCTTTTATTTTTTATTTTTATTTTATTCTGTTGATTAGGACCGGGAGGAAAGGATAGTTTGGTTGGTTATCTACCTGTGTTTTCCCTCCCACCCAACCCTTTGCCTGCATTCCCAGTTTGGTACAGTGCCACGTCAGCAACAGTGCCACGTCAGCAACAGTGCCACGTCAGCAACAGTGCCACGTCAGCAACAGTGCCACGTCAGCAGTGCCACATCAGCAACAGTGCCACATCGGCAGTGCCATGTCAGCAACAGTGCCATGTCAGCAACGCCAGCAAAAGTGCCACGTTAGCAGTGCCCCGCCACCATGACGGTCTCAGTTCTGGGCATGCCAGGCCAACTGGCCAATGAGTCCATTGCCGAGTACCGACAGCGGTTCAAAGCTCATCTTGCACTGATCGAGGCTGAGGAACAGCGTCAGGCCGCAGCCGAGGCTGCCCACCTACAAGCTGAAGCGGCGGCAGCAGCTGAAAAGCAGCGGCTTCAGGCCGAAGCAGACGCAGATACCCAGGCACGCCGCAAGGAGGCCCAGGATCTGCTACAACGGCACGAAGCCGCCAGCATCGAAAAGCTCAAGTTCTGGCATTTTGAACCATCCGAGCACCACGAAGACGCAACACCGGAAGAGCAGCACAAGGAGTTTCTTGCCAAACTCGTGACCCGGTTGGTTTACACTTGTAACCACCTGCAGTCCGAGCTGGCGAATCTCCGACGGGCGGTGCAGAACCACAAGGATCTGCACGAGGATGCTACACGGGCACTCGATTCCCGTGTACAGGACTTGGAGCAAGTTGCACCGAGACCAGATGCTGGCGAGTCCAGCAGTGCACCCTCTACCCGCCAATTGGAGGAACAAGTTGACCACGTAATCACAATGCTCGGCGACATCAGCACCTTTGCTGCACCAGTCACCATCAGCAAGCAGCTGGACACCTTGAAGACCGAGGTTCAGCAACTGCACCAGCTGCCCAACAAGGATGGCAACACCAGTGCGCAACACTACAAGATGCCGACATTCCGCATCGAGAAGTTCGATGATTATACGCATGAAGACCCGGTCCCCTGGTGGGAGGGCTTTACGACGCAACTTCGGATTCTTTTCATCCCCGAGCACTCGTACATCGGCGCGCTGTTCCTCAACTCAAAGGGCGGATGCCAGATCTGGCTCAGCCACCTGGCAAACATTCACGGCGTCCAGGTCGCCTATCTACAAGAGAAGATCTCTTGGGAAGAGTTGACAAGGCTATGTAGGAAGCGGTTCATCGTGGACGACGCCCCGGCGCTCGCCATCAACCGCCTCTTCGCCATGACCCAAGGCAACACATCGACACGCGACTGGCCCACAGAATCTCAAAAGATCGCTGCAACGCCCGATCTAGAGTTGCCATTTTCGCATCTGCGCCGGGAGTTCTACAACCGCTCGTGTGCCGCCTTGAGCCTCGCACTTGGTGACCGCGAGCAATACACGACCTTCGCCGTAATCGTCGACAAGGCAAGGGACATCATCAAGACCAACAGGGCGGCTGCACACGAAGTCAGCGTGGCAGCCAACCTATGTGGAGAAAGGAAAATTTGGTCCGCGTCCGCAGCATGTCGCTGCAGTCCAACCGGACAACATTGCGGAAGACCCGGCAGCCACCCAAGCATCACGTGAGGGAGATCAGGTGGCCGTTGTCCAGCCGTGAAGCAACAACAACTCCCGAGGAAAAGGGAAGGCGAAAACCGCATTGCCGGCCGGAAACGGACAGCCAGCACCATGGGTCAAGTTTCACTTGACCGAGGCCGAATACAAGTGGCACGGCCGGTATGGCTGATGCTATTGGTGCAACAGAACCAAGCACAAGACCTCCCAATGCCCAGATCAAGGCAAGGAGGATGTTCGGCCTCGCATCAACTCGGGAAACTGAGTTGCGCGGGAGGTGAGGCGACTCCATCTCTCACTCCGCCAGATTCGGACGCCTTGCTAGCGGCCTCCTACACATCTAGGGAGGATGCGAATGTCGCAAGTCCTCGGTTCACTGGCGAGGATTATGGTGTCCACTTGGTCCCACCGTTGGACCAACCACTCCACGTACAACAATCTACCGCATACACGGTTTCACCACCATCCGCAACCGATTCGGCAGCTTCGCCACCATCTATCGTCGAGGATTCGACGTCATGGTCAAGACTTGAAGAGATCGACCAGTTGCCGTTCGCGGACTTCCAATGGATGCCCCTTCCCCCGTCCGGTCGATTGCCGAAATCGCATCGCAACATGCTCATGGCACAATTGCGGGATAACTTACATACTGCAATACCAGCTCCGTTGATGGACGCCAAAGTAGAGGTTGTCGACCTTCACGACTACGTTGCGAAGATCGACCAAGAGTTCAAGACACAATGGTACGACGACACTGACGCGCCATTGTTATACATACGCATTCAGATCGGAGAGGCGACCTGCAGCGCTTTCATCGATTGTGGAGCTACTCGCAACTACATGAGACAAGACTTTATGGTACGCGCCGGCCTGGGACCACACGTTCGGAGGAAGTCGCAGCCCACGCAAGTAACGTTGGCCGATGGTCACACGCACAAGTCAATCGACCGGTGCATTGATGCCGTCCCTATGTACTTCGCCCCGCATGCAAGCGCGGCCGTGTCCTTCGACATTTCGGACACCAAGTTCGACATGATTTTGAGCATGTCATGGCTGCGAAGCGAGGATCATCCGGTGAACTTCTACCACCACACAGCTCACGTTCGTGATCGGAACGGAGTACAAGTCCCATGCATGGTGCCTCCTCCTCACCCTTCGATCAGCTGCCACGTGGTGTCCGCCGCAAGCATTCGAGCTTCCATCACCAGGGATGACATCGAGGAGATGGGGGGGTGTTTTGTCCACGCCCTCCCGCCCCAAGACATTCCATCGACGGACTCATCATCGGACCTACGCATCACCGAGCTTCTCGACGCCTACGGCGACATGTTCGAAGCCTCCCACGGAGTAGTACCAGATCGGCCAATTTGCCACGTGATCATCCTCGAGGTCGGGGCCGTACCTCCGCGTGGTTGCATCTACCGCATGAGCGAGGAAGAGTTAAGTGTGCTACGGGCACAACTCGACGACCTTCTCGAGAAAGGCTGGATTCGGTCTAGCTCTTCGCCATACGGTGCTCCCGTTCTCTTCGTCCGGAAGAAGAACAAGGATTTGCGGTTGTGCATCGATTATTATAAGCTCAATGCGCAAACCGTCAAGAACGTGGGCCTTCTTCTGCGCATCGACCACCTCCTCGGACGGCTGGGCGGTGCCAAGTTCTTATCCAAGCTTGATCTCAAATCGAGATATCACCAACTCGAGATCCGGCAGGAGGACCGCTACAAGACCGCGTTTAAGACGCGATATGGGCATTTCGAATGGCTGGTTATGCCTTTTGGCCTTACGAATGCCCCAGCCACATTCCAAGCGGCTATGACAACGGAGTTCCGACACATGCTGGATAGATTCGTACTCATCTACCTCAACGACATCTTGGTGTACAGCCAGAGTTTGGACGAGCATGTGGAGCACCTGTGCACCGTTTTGGAGCGGCTACAACAAGCCAAGTACAAAGCCAACCTCGACAAATGTGAATTCGCGCGGCAAAAGTTGGAGTGCTTGGGACATTATGTGACGCCGCAAGGCATTCGTCCACTTGCGAACAAGATCGAGGCCATCCGCATATGGCCCGAGCCCACCAACACCACGAACGTTTGCTCATTCATGGGGTTGGCGGGCTACTATCAACGCTTCATCATCGGGTACTTAAGGATTGCCGCACCTATGACGAGATTACAATCGCCAAAGGTGCCATTCGTATTTGATCACGATGCACGCTAGTCATTCCAAGCACTCAAGACGGCCATGCTCATGGCACCCGTCCTTATCATCTACGACCCCACCCTGCCAACGAGAGTGACAACTGACGCTTCCGGCTATGGCATTGGTGCAGTCTTGGAACAACACGTGGAGTATTTCAGCCACAAAGTGCCTCCCATCAATTCACTTGATGATGCAGGAAGGAGCTGCTCGCGTTCGTGATGGCTCTCAAGCAATGGCGACACTTCCTCCTTGGGCAACGTAGGTTCACATGGGTCACGGACAACAACCCGTTGACCTACTACAAGACGCAAGATATGGTGAGCAGCACGATCGGACGATGGATGTACTTCATCGACCAAGTAGACTTCACACCGAAACATCTCGTCGGCCTCTCCAATCCCGCAGCAGATGCACTCTTGCGAAGACCCGATCTTTGCGCTATGACACATCATGCCTTCGCGTTCAATGAGGAACTCCAACAACACTTCATCCGGGGCTAAGAGTCCGATCCGGATTTCGCCACGTTGTATGCGCAACTATCTTCGGATCACCCGCCGACGAGCCACTATCGCATCGTCGACGGGTACTTGCTCCTCCACTCGAGAGGCAAGGACTTACTGTGTGTCCCACGAGACCGTCGTCTTCGGACTCGCCTTCTCGGCGAGTACCATGACTCGCGACTCGCCGGCCATTTCGGAGTCAATCGCACTATTGCACGACCTTGGCAACAATTCCGATGGCCCGACCTCATTACCGATGTCACTCGGCATTGCGACTTTTGCGAAGTTTGCCGACGAAGCAAGCCCCGCAACCTACGGTGAGTTGCGCCCGATGCCTATCCCACGGGAACCCGACCTCTCCATTGCCATGGACATCACGGGTCCGTTTCCTCGCGACCGCCTCGGGCACGACGGCATTCTCACGGTCATTGACCGTTTCAGTAAGTATGTGCGATTTCTCCCTTGCAAGTACTACGCCACGGCTCCCGAACTTGCGCGCCTTTTGCACACCGGCTGGATTTGCAGCCATGGCGTACCGAACTCATTTCATGTCGGCATTCTGGACTTCTCTCACGCATGAATCCGACACCAAGATGAAACCAAGTTCGGCTCGGCATCCACAAACGGACGGGCAAACGGAGCGGGCACATCAAACCGCTCAAATGATGCTTCGTACGCTCATCCGTCCGGATCAGAAGGATTGGGTTGACCGCCTCCCCGACATCGAGTTCACCTACAACACTTCGTTGCATCTGGCGATCAGCGTGACTCCATTCGAGTTGCACCACGGTGGTCGGAAAGGCCGTATCTTCGCTGATCTTCTCCTCCCACGAACAATCGACATAAACGTTGCTTGCTCCCCCGCTTCCGTCCGGAAGTACAAGGAATTGCTGGCTCAAGCCCGCGCGAACATGCAAAAGGCTCAAGTCCGCATGCAGCAGCAAGCCAACAGGCGTCGTGTGCCATGTCCCATCCGCACCAGTGATCTTGTGTGGGTCTCCGCGGAAGAGTTCGCACTCAAGCAGGATGTTTCGCGCAAACTGCTTCCCAAGTGGTTTGGACCATAGCCTGTAACATCAGCCGCGGGCGATGAGCCCGATGGCCCCTCCTTTGTGATCAACATTCCCCCGCATCTGACGGTCCATCCAGTCTTTCACGCCTCGAAGCTGGCGACATATACACCAGCTAAGAGCGATGACTTCCCGGGCAGACGATCGCAAGACCCTCCATCTATGGATGGTCATCAGGAAGTTAACTGCGTCATCACGGATCGCAAGTACGGCAGCAAGCCTCGACAGTACAAAGTTACATTCAAAGCATGCGATCCCGACGACACTCGATGGATTTCAGGAGCAGATTTAAAAGCATCCGCAACGCTGATCTACACTCACTACAAACAACAAAGGTTAGCCAACGGAGCTTCACGACCTGCCCCTCCCACCCGGACTTTGGTCCCTCCCTCAAACAGACAGCTTCGCCCTCACAGGTAAGCTCAGTCTTTCAAGGAGGGGGGGGTGTGGCATACTGCGCAGCCACACGGGCCTGCAGGGCCCGACCAGCGTTCTCAGCCTAAAAGCCTGAAAATAAGGGCTTACAGGCCCTGTGTCGTTTTCAGACTAAAAGCCTAAAAACAAGGGCCTACAAGCCGTGTCATTTTCAGCCTAAAAGCATGAAAACAAGGGCCTACAGGCCCCATGTCGCTTCAGCCTAAAACAGGGCCCTCCAGGCCCTGAGTCTTTTCAGGCTGAAACGGAGGGCCATTTTCAAGCCCTCATAAGATCAACCTGCCCTGAAACTTAGGCACCAAACCAGGGTTTTATCACATGCCATTTTTGGCCTGTTTTCAAGGCAACCCTTCTTTGAACTTCAACGCCAAGGTCTGGCATGTTTTGGCGTTGGCAAGAGCAGCCTCCTGGACGGGCCAGCACTACAGGTTGCAGACAGTCACGAGGTAGTTCCAGGGAACTTCCCAGGCACTTCACGTCCAGGAGGCAGGAGGCAGGAGGCAGTCTTCAAGATTCGGCAGCAGCACTCTAGAGGAGCGCTGCAGTAGTAGTAGCGTTAGCAGTAGTCTTCAGCGTTGGGCGCTATTAGAAGCTAGAGTAGTAGTGGAGAGAGAGATATGGTTGGCGGAGGCCAGGGAGACTTACCTGTGGCACCATAGCTCCAGCTTCGTCTTCGATGTACCTGCAACAAGGCACCACCTTCGCATGTTAGTACCAGACTGAGAGAGAGAGAGAGTTCTTCACCCATCTCCTCCTCACCCTCTCGCTACCTAACTTCTCAGTACCTGCAGACTACGAGAGAGAGAGAGAGAGATTGGCGACTTTGGGACTTGACGACATTGGATCTAGACTCAACATTGGGATTCCGACATTTGACGAGGGATTATTTGGGACCTGTGTCGAAAACGACATTCCCATCTTCCCCTCTTCTTCGTTTAACCCCCTCTTCTTCGTTTGTGTATGATTCGGGACTGGCGCATTCTTCCTATGTGAGCGCCAGGCCCCTTCACTCCATGGAATGATGATGATGTATGTCTGGGCTGCATTGCGACATTGATTGTTCGGATCATTGGTATTTAAGCCTTCCGCTGTGCTATCTTGTACTATGTGAGAGAGGTCGGTTCTTGTTCTGGTCTGCACCGTTACGGTATGAGAGAGAGAGAGAGAGAGAGAGAGAGAGAGAGAGAGAGAGAGAGAGAGAGAGAGAGAGAGAGAGAGAGAGAGAGGAACGGATCCCCTTAACACAACTCAGGGGGCCCATGCAGGCAATCTGAAAGGTCCTCGCATTAATGTATCGCAAACCCTCCACCAAAACCGAGGCAGGCACTGAATATAAAGTAGAGCACAAGCTGGCCGAATATATACTCAGGATTCGAATTCAGGTCTCTGTTTCAGCAGTTATGTGTTTCAGGCCCGATTGGTCTCTCCACGTGATTCTCAGGGTTTGGCTGCACTATTCATAATGAGCGTACGTTGTATTCGGGGGGGTGAAGACGATAGTCCGCTGATCTCAAGCGTCTCAACTATAACCCCAAAAGTTGGAAGGCGTTCCCAAATATTTTTGGTAGAGGAAACTTTGTTGCACTTAGGATCGCCGGTATTAAACCACCACTTCCGGGCCGCTTTTTGCAAAAGCAGATCCTGCAACTGGGGAAAAAATAATCAAGGAACTGGGAGGGGGGAAGGATCATGGAAATGGTGGGGGGGGCCGGGGGGAACTGAAAATTTGAAAATTTGGGAAAAGGAAGCTCCGTCTCATCTGATTTTGGCAGGGGATTGGACTGCGACACTAGAACATGGCCTAGATAGAATGTCTAGGGGAACATCAGCAAAGGAAGGAGCAGTTTGGGGCGAGGCAGCAGCTATACATAACCTCATGACGGAACACCAACTAATCGACCCATATCGTGTGAGACAACCCTCAACCAGAGCTTTCACTTATCTCAAGCGCAATCGTAGTCAGCACATCTCAACGTCGAGGGTAGATTTCTTCCTTATGTTAGAGCAACCTCACGGAGCAGTCCAAGAAACGGGCATTAGTCAACTCCCATATGCAGCGGGGCTAGATCACAAATTTATATACCTAAATTTACTTCTAAGCACAGCCACAAAAAGGGGTCCAGGCTTCTTCAAAGTCAATAACTCACTCTTAGAAACTACAGTAATGAAAGACCACATTATTGAATCTTGCTCCGCCTACCGGACAAGGATCAACACTTTTCAACAGCTGGTGGGAAGCCTGTCCAACGCTTTAGCAAAGGCCTCAGGGATTATCGCAGCACAGAGAAAGGCAAAGGAAAAGGAGCTGGAAGCAGTCCTGCAAATAGCAGAGCAGAATTTAATAGCCCAACCGGGGCAGACACATCTCGAAGATTCACTCTTTGCAGCGAAACGCCAACTGTCGAAGTGGAAGGCCTGGAAGCACGTAGGGCTGCGACTAAGAGCCAGAATCAAAGAACTAGAGGAAGGAGAAAAAATGACTAAGTACTTTTTTTTAGAAGGTTAAAATTAATTCGCACAACAAACTCATCGATCAGTTGAAGATGGGAGATACTACAACGTCGGACCCTCAAGAAATGTTGACCATAGCAGCGGACTTCTACAAGGAACTCCACACCTCAAGGGAGAACCAGCATCCTTCAATTAAAGTACAAGAAGTAAGACAAAAATTTCTACGGCACCTGTATAAAACAGTGTCGCAGGAACAAGCACCAAAGTTGGACAAGCCAATCACACCAGAGGAGGTCAAGTTAGCATTGCTCTCCATGCAGCCGAATAAAACTCCGGGAAGAGACGGACTCTCGAAGGAATTTTGGCAGACATTCTGGCCAATTTTTCAGAGAGAATATACTAATTTCCTGAACACGGCCTACCACGAAGAAGGATTAGGCAAGTACATAAGCACAAGAGTAGTTACACTGCTATACAAAAAGGGAGATATCATAAATTACCGTCCAATAAGTCTACTCACGGTGGTATAGATACTGGCAAAACTACTAGCCAATCGGCTTAGGAATATCACCCGGAGCTGCT